TATATATTTTTTTTTTAAACATTAAAAATGTTATACATATTGTGTAATGTTCAAAAGACACAAAAAATTCCTATAGAACATTATGTAATTCCTATTAATTGAAAAAATACATAATAAACAAAAACGAATTTTACTTCAGATCCATAATTTAGATGAGTATTTAATTTCTTTTACATACAAATATTTTATTTAAAAAATTCTCATTGTATATATATTTTAAATTTTTCAGAATGACTTTTATTTAATATATAATAGTTTGATATTTTGCAACAAAATGCTATGGAAAGACATTTAAACAAAAAAGGAGGCAGTTGTATATTACATATTTAAAAAATAATAAATTAAAGCTGCAATGTTAAAAATTAACATAGGAACTTTTAAATCAATACTGAAAAATTACAGTAAATTGATGAAATGTACATAACACATACAAGATTTCATACATGTTTAAAGATTCACACTTGTAAAATACATGTACACTACTCACAATCAGTAAAAATTTTAACATAAAATGTAAAATTTACTTCTACTATTGCTTGATTTATTATTTTTTACATTATATATATTTGTATATATTGTATATATAAAATAAAATCATAAAATGTATATTAATTCATTTTTTCTATTTATAGTAAACAATTTATCTACAATAGTTATGTATATAATTAAAAAAAATTATTCTATAATTATGATTCTTTATATATAAAAAAGAATATTAAATGTACATGATAATATAAGAATAATTTAAAAATACCTAAAAATGCTTTTAACCTAATTGGCTATTATTTTTAAGAATCATTATTGTTGTTTTTATATGTTTCATTTTAAAATTAATACCGACAATGAGATAATCTCATATTTGGTAATAAATGATTATGAAAGACAGCAAGTGAGACTAGTTGTGTTTTGAAGATATTTTACAAGGGGAACACAGATTGAAATTATTATTCATTCTGTGTATGGCATTGTTCCCATAGTTGTTATTGTTGATAAAAATTAACTCTTACTGGCATTGTGTATTTTACAGTCAATATTTGGAGTTTGAATATTTCAAACTCTCTGGGAAAGTAAATGTCATTGCCATTTTGCTTTCTGTGCAAATATATCAGCTCTCAGATTCTGAGCAAAACAAATGCCTAAAATCTGTAAAGAAATAATTTAAATTTATAAGCATAAAATGTTGTTATAATTAATTAAATTAATATAATAAAATATATTATATTAATATATAAATATATTATTACAAGCATAATATGAACAAGCATAAAATATTATTTTAGGATTGTTTCTTAATTACAGTTACATACTTGTAAAACAGCTACTGCCACAGCTACACCTGCAACAGGTACTAAATTAGCTTCTATCCATTCTTCTCCAGCCCTTAAACATCCTTTCTCATATATGACTGCAGACTTATCCACAGACTAAAAATAAAATTACATAATATATTTATTAAATATTCTTATTCATTTTTAAACAATTTTAATATGCAATAGATTAAAGTATTTTTATTTCATGTATCACTTGCAATCAATTTTTGCAGTTCAAAATTAAGACAGAATTTTTCTTTCTTTAATTATGGACAGAAAGGTCATTTACCCTAAAAAATTTTTATATAAAACTCTGATATCAATCTTCTTAATGTTTATCTTGCTTAGTTACAAAGTCTGTTTGCACTAAGTTTTCTATCTTATGTAATCTGTAAATTTTCTACATTTAATTTAAGATTTATGAAGCATAAAGCATCACTCAATTAGTCAAGCAATCCTTTTAGTTCCATTATCATCTTTGCTACAGAGCTATCATGCCTATGCAGCATAGCAGATTTATTTGTAAGTAAATAAATAAAAACAAGAACTTATACTGGAATGAATAAATAATATAAAATAAAATAAACCTTTAACTATCCAGCAATAAATATGTTTAATAAAAACATTTTCAACTGTTTTTAAACAGCCATTTATTTGTAAGATGATCTGTGATAGTTAATAAATAAATAAGAGCAACAATTTTATGTAAGAATGGAAATACTTTCTACATAGACTATATGCATCTTGAGTAAATCTTAAAGAGAAGCAACTTTTAATTCATGTAATAAATAAAGCATGTGTAATTATTAAAGCACTATAACTTAAAGTACAAAAATTTAAACATAAGCATGTAACAAAATTTAAAAACAAAATGCTAAAAAATATTAAAATATAAACATTATTTAAAGAAATAAACTCCTGTTAGCAGTAAAGAAAAAGACCTTAGAGACACTCCTTTTGTATCCATCCTTGATTATGTGTATTTTCAACATTATTATACTGATGTGTAATAATGTTGAAAAATTATATCATATATAAAATCATTACCTTTAATAATTTTATCAAGTTGAAGAAAACACAAAGTGGGCATGATATATAATTTGATTTTCTTCCAATTTGAAACAGTGTCTTTTATCTATATTTATTCTTATTACACAATGAAGCATACTCAATAGATACCAGGCTTTACTTTACATCTTTCTTTATTCTGCTATTCCCACTGTCATGGACATCTTTATCTATTCAAAAAAATCTGCATATATGCAAGATCATGTATATAGATATCTGCAAATGATTTCCTTGTGATTCTTAGTGTTGAAATGACACTACATTCTTGGTTCTTTCTACACCTTTGTGAGCTATTAAATGGGCAGAATAAAGATGGATCTATTAGGACTGTCTATTGAATATGCTTCATTGTGCAATAATGATAAATATAATTTGATATTAAATTTTTAAAAAATATTTAGTATGTTAATTAAATAAGAAGCAGCATTCTAAAATGCTTTTTATTTCTATGATGAAAATGATTCTGAAATGACTTTTATTTAAAAACTCGCAGATGAGCCTGGCATTGTTCAGGCAAAAAGTAACAATAGCGAAAATTAAGATTATTAGATTATAGCTGATCTTACTCGTTTTTACCAGGTGCAAGAATTAGGTTCACCCTCTTCCGAGACTAATTAGAGAATTTTTAGATGGGTCTAAAAACATGTTCAATTTTCCACAAAAAACCGCATTTAAAACAGTATAGTAAAATCTGAATTCAGGATAATCCTTAACCCTCTCCCTCTCCTCCACAGGGGAAATTTCAGAACGTTCCTTAGTGTACATTCGTTCTAATGATGTATCCTAACTGTGTATCAAATTTCAACTTTCCACTCCTAACTGTTTGGGCTCTGCACTTATTATTATTATCAAGCTATGTTGATTATAAGATACTACAAATTTAATTCATTANAGTCATTTCTAATAGCAGCAAAATTGCTAAAAATATTGCATACTGTAATAAAAAATGATTTATTTAATAAATTATTTTAAAATAAATCATTTTAATATATATTGTAATAGTATCTCAGACATTACACATTTAAATAAATGCTGAAGTTAACAAAATTTCCTTTTTATTACATGACAACAGAAATTTTTTCCTTCTTGAAAAAGTTGTTTTACAGGTATATGAAACCAACATTACATTGATGTTATATTTTATAATGAAAATACAGTGGGTGATTGGTTAATGAACAGATTGGATAATGAACACTTTCGCGAAAGATTTTTATGTTCGGACAATGAACACATGATCGGATAACAAACACCTCACAGAACAAACACAAGAAGAAGCGATGTAAAATAATGAATACCGATTGGTCTTCCCATGTCTTCGAGTAACAATTCGAAACTTTTCGAAGTGTGGGAAACGTCGACATCAACGCTCAAGCCGGTATATACCGATCGGATAGTATTCCTTCAAACACTCTCCCTTGTATCAATAATTACAGCCTTTTATTTTTCTGACAAAATAATTCTTTTATGTATTCGTGATACTGTCGGGTAGGCACTCATTAAGTTTTGCATCTGTTGTTCTTTTCAAAAGGTGAAAGTATAATAGCAAAGGTGGAGAGTGGGCAGAAGATGCTAATGTTGCTGGGCAGTATGGCGTGAACGGGTCTACAGTAGGCCGCAGTTCAATCTTATTTAAGAAAAATACTGTATAATCCAGAAGACTCAAGTAGCTAAAGGAGTAACAAAAATCAAATCTGAGAAATAAAGAACATCGAAGAGTTCATAATGGAACCCAAAATGGATCTGACGATAGAAGAATGCTAAGAACCCTTGAATGAAGAACACCAAGAATCTCGGTGAGGTATGTTTTCTTCTGAAAAAGAGGATTAATTCTACTGTCTGATATCCACCAGCATAAAACTGAAAAAAAGAAATATCCAATATCTTTTTTTATATATTTTTTTGTGTTTTGTAAATAATTTATCAGGTTCCAAAGTGTGTATATGTAGATTATCAATTTATTTGAAAAAGTTCTCTTTATACTTAAAAGACGCCAAATAATAACTTCCATAAATTTTGGTTGGCACTGAGAAAATTTGCATCATAAATTTTATGATTTTGGCAAGAACACTTAAAAACATTGTCCATCCCAAACAGTGGTCTAGTTTAAGTCAAACTTACCACCTCTAGGCCTCCTTGCTTTCGGGCAGGTAATTATCCATTCTTGTTCTTGTCAAAAGCCATTGTTTAAACTAGGATAGCAGCAGCTCTAAACTTTGGCTTAGGTCTAGACTTTATTTCTGTAATTGGCCAACTATCTTAACTCTTCCTGATTAGATGCAAATAAATAAAGTTTGATTTTCATATATTGTTTGCTAGAGGGTGAAAAGTTGTTGCTGTTGACTATATGTTAAACATGTATTTTTTTAAAAGATATGTTTTTCAGCATTTCCATTTTTTTATATTAAACAAAATTTTTTATACTCTATTGGTCATTACTAATTATTCATTTTAAAAGTTAAGTTTCTTATCCAGCTATCCTTTATACATTCCTACAACATAGTTTCACTCTAACATGGTTCAAAAATTGGAAAAATCCCCATACAAAACATCACAATTTTTAAGTGCAAACACCATCATTCAATATTTTTTTTTATTCAAGTAAGCATGCATACATGTTGTCTCATATTTTCCCCATAGATTTTAGAGCATTGAAATTTTCATTATTATTTTGTGCCTTTTGCTTGGCTTTCTTTAACGAGAACTGATTGTGCAATTTTTCGTCTTCCTTATCCTAGCTTCCCTATAAATGGGTGTTGCTGTCATTGGTGATAATGCTCTAAATCAATGCTTCCCAAACTTATTACCCACAGACCCCTTCTCATAGCAAAAACCTGACCACAAACCCCCAAGTGAAATAACTACACAACTACATAATAGCAAAATTACAAAACTTAACTTTGATATCATGAATGGTGAAATAAAAATAAATATTTAGGTTCATCCTCTTCAGAGACTAATTAGAGAATTTTAAGATGGGTCTAAAAACATGTTCAATTTTCCACAAAAAACTGCATTTAAAACAGTATAGTAAAATCTGAATTCAGGATAATCCTTAACCCTCTCCCTCTCCTCCACAGGGGAAATTTCAGAACATTCCTTAGTGTACATTCGTTCTAATGATGTATCCTAACTGTGTATCAAATTTCAACTTTCCACTCCTAACTGTTTGGGCTCTGCACTTATTATTATTATCAAGCTATGTTGATTATAAGATACTACAAATTTAAATCATTAGTGTTTTTGCATAAGNAAAAAAAAAAAAAAAAAAATATTATAGTGATAGTGGCACTTTAAGTGGCTGTGTTTTAAAGTTGAATTTATGTGCAAGCCATAATGTTTTAATCACCAAAGTGCAAGTCATGTGACTTTTGATACAAAAATGTCACTGCTTATATTTACATCATTTTGTTATTTCAGAGAATTTGTAATGTAGTTTTTTTACCATTTTATTGTAAAATTGAAATTAATTTCTTGAAGTATGAAATACCTACAGGAAAAAGGAAATTTGTAGAAAAGTGGAAAAAGAACATTTGAAAGAAACAAAAAAAAATAGTGGCTTAGAATACATTTCCCCCATATCACAGAAAGTTAACCTGAGAAAGAATCCACCAACAGAGGTAAGTAAAAGACTTAATACTTCAAAAATATTGCCTCAGACTTGAGATTTACAAGATATGGATAGATAATATGGATCATTGTGTCTATGTGTGGGTGTACTGTACAACTTGTAGATGTGTTTCTTACAAGTTTGTTAAATTTTTTGTTTATGTTAAAAGTGATGAGCAAGTGTGACTTCACTTGCAAAAATGTAAGGTTGGATTACTGTTAGGAACTGTTCCAACAATTTTATGAACTGGCTGACTACAATAAGCAGCAGAGTTATCTTCAAAGACTTGTTCATCCACAGATGATAAAAAGGAGACAATATGGGAAGTACTACCATCCTTCTGAAAATAAAAGGCAACACTCTTTCAGTTATCATTTGCTTCTTCCCGATGGAAGTGAAGTAAGAGTTTGCCTTAAGACTTTGTGTAATACATTTGGAGTTACTGCAAGAAGGATTCAGTTGATTGGAGAAAAGATTTTGAAGGAAAAAATGGATACTATCTATCAAAGAGGAGGCCAACACAAATGTATTGAAAAGCAGTTATGGACAGAAAAATAATTGAGCACATTAGGAGTTTTTCAAGTGAAGAAAGTTACTATGCTCAAGCCAAAAGTATAGATAAAATGTACTTATCTACTTATCACCTGATCTCAATGTTAGCAGAATGTATAAAGCCTTCCTTGAGAAATGTTGTCAGCAGTACTCTGGGAGCAAAGCCACAGTTATTTGACAATGGTACAATGAAATTTTCCTGACCAAGTTCAATCTATCTTTTCAAAGACCTCAGATAGAAACTTGTTCAACTTGTGACCACCTTGATGTACAAATAAAAGCTGGTGAGATGTCAGTGAAAATAGAGCATGAATTACATCACCATAGAGCTGAAGTAACCAAAAAAGATATGTCCAATGATACAAAAATGATAAAGATTGAAGTCCAACTCCAAGCACCAAAACTGTGGATTGGACCCAACAGTGGTGAAAACAGGAAGCAGTCACCAGTAGAATATTGTCAGTTTTTAACATTAAAATTGAGTTTGAATGTTTCATGAATTGTGTTTAATAATTTAATTGTAAGTTTATGGTATTCAAAACCGTTTCTCAGCTGTAGAATGCATTTTATGACTGCATGTTTTTGGCATTTACAACCTTATGCACTTGCACAATTTTGGTATTTATGTTATGCCTCTGTTTTTAAATTTTTTGTTTCCTTACTATTATACTTAGGTGTTTGAAATTAAACACAATGTTTTATACCTAAGTGTAAATCGTTAAAATAATTTTTCTAGCATTTGATTAAAGTTTGCTAGAAAAAGTGTTTTTATCTCTTCTGAAAAGTTTGTTTTTTAGAATTTACAATGTTATGGCATTGCACACTTCATATACAGAGTGTTTATAATTAAATTGACAGTATTTGGGGCACTAAAATAAAAAGATATGAAGTTGAATGAACAACCTTTATTTTACAAATCAAGATTTTCAATATGTAAACTATTAGTATGCAAAATGGGCTGGAAACATAATATGGCATTGTCCATAGTTATTTGAAGCATGACTTGGAATGACAAACATTCTGAACTGAAGGCAAAGATAACACAGTAAGTTATTGAACATTACCTTTATAAACTTGGCTTTTCAAATAACCCTTATAATAAAAAATTTCACAGGTTTAGGCCGTAAGTGCATGATGGTCAAGCATTAGAAAATGTTCAAGAAAATGTCTTCACCAAATACGGTACACAATAATTGCAGTGCTATACATCTCTACATGCAGTCTAAGGTGGTTGTCTATCATGCATGAAAGTTATGCAGGCTAGGCTATTTCTTTCCTGCAAAGCTGGAATAACAGATGAAATTTTGGTTATATTTGTTTTATGTTCTGAAGGAAAGTATAGACTACTTATTTTGCAAAAGTATTAGCTGTAGAATAAATGTTTTATTGATTTCAAATTGGTAATCACACTTATGTTGTAGTGATGTCAGTAACCACGTGATATTCTATCATCAAATCAGAAGTAACAAATCTAATTAGCCCATTATTAGAAAGTGTTATCGCTCATCTAATTAGCCTAACATACACACAGTTCATCTTTGTTTTATCAACATGGAATTAAAAAGACATTTTGTCAGGAAAAAAAAATGCCTAGGGGAAAGCATAAGAGTATAATTGGTCAGGTAAATTCTAGATCTAAAAGAACAACTGAGACTCCTGAAGACCATGAAGTCCAACTTGAGCAACATAAAGTAAGAATGGCTTTGTCAAGGGCTGCCCCGAAAAGCACCACAACATCAAGCTTGACTTGAAGCTCTTCCCAATTCTTTAATCTCTACTTTCTCATAAAAAATATTTCATCATACTTGATGAGAAAATTTTTAGTATCAGAAATTATCATGCTGTAACATGTTTTAGCAAACCAACACTACCTAGTGGCATGAAAATTAACTAATTCTTTTTTATTTGCAAATTCTCTTTCCTATGTTTTTATTCAGGTAACCACCAATTTTCACTATGATCTGTCCAGTAGATTCTTCTCTATCACTTTTGAGTACTCTCAGTTTAATTATAACCATCCTGAATTTTTTTATTAATTTTTCAAGTATATGAATATGGACATCTTCAAAATACTATTTGACCATCATGAATAAATTCATGATTCACTTGCATCTGATTCAGATAACTCATACACAACTCATGCTTAACTGGGCTCTTCGTGCATTTTTTAGGTTTGGACTCTCCTTCTGTTATTCATTTTGCACTTCATTATAAACAGACTAAAGTATTCACAAATCCTGGATATAATCTTCAAGTCACATAACAAACTTTATGTCAATTCTTTGTTTTGTCAAAAAAATTATAATTTATTTTGATTAATTTTTTGACAAGTCTATTCAAAACACTTCATAATAAATTACATAATAAATTTTGCTGTCAATAAAGCAAACAAAATTACACTCAGAGTTATAATTAACTATTCATTGTCATTATCACTACAGATTTTATTATTTAGTAAACAAATACAGTGGAACCCCGGTTAACGAACTTAATCTGTTCCGCGACTCCATTCGTTAACTGAATTGTTCGTTAACCGAAGCAACTTTTCCCATAAAAATTAATGCAAATGCAATTAATCCGTTCTAGTCTCCGAAATTTTTGTGATTTAATTTGTAATATACAGTAATTTTCTTTGATGAAAATGAAAAAAAACATAGTATCTATCATTACAGCAACAAACATGTAAACTTTGTTTAATAAAATAGCACTGTACAGTACATACCTTCGTTTGTTGTAGTTGGTGGCAGAAAAGTGGAGATATACGAACCTTAATGCTTAGAAGGGGAATCCCCTCCAAAAAAAATAACGGGTAGCACTTCATCGGAAGATTCTTCGAGTCGAAGTCTCTTTCGGTAAAAAAAAAAAACACCAATGGCTAAGTGGTCTTCGTACCTTGAACACGGGGAGTTCGTTCATGGGTTCGCACCTCGCTCAGATGGGCTGACATGGAGTTTTCCGGGTTTTCTCCACGTCTGTAACGCCTAAATAGGGGCCAGTTTTCCTTAAACCACCTCCCAGAAGGCATTCCCCCTAGGAAAATCGCCCAAGTGTTGCGTTGCCATAACTTAACAAACTCTTTCCGTAAGGAACAAGAAATTGATCTAAAGTTGATTGTCTTATTCTTTTAATCAAAAATTTCTCAAATGCGATAGCGCGTTGTCGTTTTCTATTGCCATTATGACTTTTTTCTTTCTTGGATGCCATATTGATTAAATATATAAATCACAAAACTGAAAAAAGAAGTATAGTACAAACACTCGGAAAAGCAATACTTAACTCGCACGTGCCTAACACAACTAAAATTTGACACAAAATACCGTTACGTTCGTTATCCGANAGACTTAATGTTAATTGCTTTTCTTATGTAAATGAAAATTATTAATTTAAATAATTATTATTGTAACCTGCTGCTATTTTAAGGAACAACAATACTGCTTTATTTAATTTACAAAAATATAGACAAAAAGAATTAGGTTAAGTGGCAAGTAATATGGCAATAGAATGTTTACAAACAACTTTAAATTGCATTATCTTTTCTGCAGAAATTTAATTATAGGTTCAAGTGTGCCATGAGATAAAAAAGAAGGTTGGAAAACATTGATCTAGGGGATGCAAAGAAATTATTATTATTGTTTATTTTTGAGTATACAACTTCTGCAAGTATTTGCATGAAAAATAGTGGATTTATTTTATCCAATATTTTTCTTGTAATATAGCATTTAGAAACATTTGCAACTTCTGTATTAATTTACAATATAATTATGTTAATGAAATATCTTAATTTAATTTCACTTAAAAATCCTTATTATCTCTGTGCACCATTTTGATTTTGTTTTGTTCATAAAATAATTGTACACTATCAAAAAATTGTAGAAGAAAATCTTAAGTTTTATCAGAATAAAATGCATCTAAGAAATGCAACTTAATATGCTTTTACAAAAATTGTAAGAAGGTATAGAATTTTTTCAGATGAAAGGAATTGTCTTGTAAAAAAGTTTGGAAGCCATTGTCCTAACCTAAGCATGTTTTATAAAATATAAAAGTCATAACACTGAATCAAAAGTTTTTTTTTATTCTAAAAAAAAAATAATAAATTCTTTGTTTCTTTTTCTTAATTTCAACTTTCATAGCATCCTATATATACTGTATATAAAAATTAAATTCTTTTTTACATTCGTTTTATTTTCCATATTTGTTCCATATTTTACTTATCTATGTCTCATTATTTCAAAAATATGTTATTCAAAATATGCTATATAACATATTTTATGCGTTTACATCATTCTCTAGATTAGATAACAAAAAATAAAATGAAACCTTATTGTTTTTAATGTCTACTGGAACAATTATTTTGACTATACATGACCATCTTGCTATAAAATAATATATATTCATTGACTTTCTATATTATAATATTTAAATTAAATGATTTAACATTGAAAAATAAACTAATGAACCATAATGTATTATAAATATTATTTTATATAGTTTCATAAAAAAATTAATCCACTTTCTAATTATCTAAAGACACATTCATAGAAAAAATATTTTTAAATTTATTGTTCATCAAAAATCTGATGTAAGTACATATTCTTTCATTTGTGAAAGTATTAAGTTATAACAAAATAATTGAAAATTACAGAAAACAAAACAATTATAAAATTGTTCATTTTAAAAATTACTATAAAAGTTCAAATGATACTATGGAAATACTTACATATTCTGATTTTCTTACATCATATCCACACTGTTTGTTTTTTATAATTTCCTAGACATTAAAAAAGGTACATAAATTTATATGATTCATTTAATTAAATATTATAAAATTTATACATCTTTATGGTTTGAAAATGTTTTAAATTTAAAATTAAAAACTTGATTTACATTGGGTTGTGGTTTGCAACAAGAAAATGGCACACCACAAGCTTCTCGACTTCCTACTTCAATACTAGAACAGTTGAAATAAATATTCATGTCCCAATCTTTAGGTCCTTCTATTCCACAGCATTCCAACTAAGAATGTATTTTACAAATTATGAGTAACAGTTCTATTATTATTACTTTTTCCTTATATTTAATCTTACCCATTGTTCTTGTATCCAGTCAATTAAATTTTGTTGATCAGGATCTTCCCGGTAATGGATAATAAATGCTTGAAATCCCCCAGTTGCTTGAGATTTTATCTAAAATTAGAGAAAAATGTTTATTATATTTTGCGAAATAAAATTTATTTTAAATTCAAATTATTAAATAACATAATTATTTCAATAAACTTAAGATAATCTTCCAATAAATCAACAAATGTACTTTAAGATAATATAACTTTTAGAAATAAGTAAAATTATTAACAATAATAAAACCTGTCTAAAACGAAATCTAAATAAAACAAAAACCTGCTTAAATGGAAAAAGTTCTTCTGAACAGAGCAATTTTCTGTATTAAATTTCATTGTAAGATGGAAATCTGTCCAAAGCAGAAACAGAAGAGGATTTTGGTTATAACAGCAGTAACTTAACCTGACATCAACATAAAATTAAGATTCCATTTGCAGATCATAGCAGAACATAACAAATTGTATTCTAAGAATGATTTTGAATCTTGTCAGAAGAATGAAGATCATATGACAAGGGAGTATACAGATATAAGGTCTAGGTTAATATTAATCTTTGTTGGAATCACGTACTCTTAAGAGTCGAGAATTTTCAAGAATCAAAAGAGTTTCCAAGAATTGAATTTTTGAGAATAAGTAATGAATGTAATTCATGAAAACAATGAGAATAAGACAGCATGATGCTATAATGCTGCCAACTTGCCTTGATACATCAAAAAAAAAGGCTATTAACAAACACAATGACTTTTTGTTTCAATAATTCATTATTATAAAATATATTGCTTGCAATTGCAAAATAACATTTAGTTAAAAAGTTGACATTCATTCAAATAATACAGCAATCTAAATAATCATCATGAAATAAACATGAAATGTAAATTACTTTTTTGGTCTAATTATTATTAAAAATGCTTTATTTATAATAAAGCATTTTCAATAATACTTAATCTTTTATTCAAATTTTATATAACTCAATACATGATATTGATTTTAAATAAAACTTTCCACAACATTAATAAATAAAAAAACTATTCAATTACAAAAATTGAATTTTCAAATAAGCAATAAATAAATTATGATAACTGATATCAGAAAATAATTATGATGATTTTAATTTTAATGAAGTAAAACTTTTCAATTATTATAAAATTATACTTACCCAATCTTTAAAAATAAAACCCAAAATTCCAGCAGTCATTTCTAATAGCAGCAAAATTGCTAAAAATATTGCATACTGTAATAAAAAATGATTTATTTAATAAATTATTTTAAAATAAATCATTTTAATATATATTGTAATAGTATCTCAGACATTACACATTTAAATAAATGCTGAAGTTAACAAAATTTCCTTTTTATTACATGACAACAGAAATTTTTTCCTTCTTGAAAAAGTTGTTTTACAGGTATATGAAACCAACATTACATTGATGTTATATTTTATAATGAAAATACAGTGGGTGATTGGTTAATGAACAGATTGGATAATGAACACTTTCGCGAAAGATTTTTATGTTCGGACAATGAACACATGATCGGATAACAAACACCTCACAGAACAAACACAAGAAGAAGCGATGTAAAATAATGAATACCGATTGGTCTTCCCATGTCTTCGAGTAACAATTCGAAACTTTTCGAAGTGTGGGAAACGTCGACATCAACGCTCAAGCCGGTATATACCGATCGGATAGTATTCCTTCAAACACTCTCCCTTGTATCAATAATTACAGCCTTTTATTTTTCTGACAAAATAATTCTTTTATGTATTCGTGATACTGTCGGGTAGGCACTCATTAAGTTTTGCATCTGTTGTTCTTTTCAAAAGGTGAAAGTATAATAGCAAAGGTGGAGAGTGGGCAGAAGATGCTAATGTTGCTGGGCAGTATGGCGTGAACGGGTCTACAGTAGGCCGCAGTTCAATCTTATTTAAGAAAAATACTGTATAATCCAGAAGACTCAAGTAGCTAAAGGAGTAACAAAAATCAAATCTGAGAAATAAAGAACATTGAAGAGTTCATAATGGAACCCGAAACGGATCTGATGATAGCCCACAGGGCGGAAG